GCCCCCACCCTGTTTCAAAACAATCTGTATACTGGGGCGCCTGGGTGGCTCAGTTGGTTAAGCGACTGCCTTCGGCTCGGGTCATGATCCTGGAGTCCCGGGATCGAGTCCCGCATCGGGCTCCCTGCTCGACAGGGAGCCTGCTTCTCCCTCAGACCCTCCCCCTTCTCCTGCTCTCTCTCTCTCTCAAATAAATAAATAAATAAAATCTTTAAAAAAAAAAAAGCAATCTGTATACTATTTGGAATTGCTTTTCCACTTACCTAAGAAGGTCCCAAATTGTTACAGCCCATGGAAAACTTTTAATGTGTAGCATTATTATAATGCATAAATGTTTCAAAATTTAATCTTTATCCTATAATAAGACTGTGTTTTGTTTTTCATCACCATTATAAATAATGTTGTATAGAATATTTTTATGCACAAAATGTTTTTTGAATTCAGGCAATAGTCTCAGGATTCCAGAAAAGAAATTTCTAGGACAGAGTCTGAGCTTTGTAAGGTATCTGATAATAACACCTGGGAGGACCAGTCATGAAAGGTACTCCCAAGGACTTTGTTTCTGTGAGGAGAAGGAGGGTTTTTTTCCTTTTTTTGGTAAGCAGAAGGTCTTTAGAATACAATTTAGGAAAATCATAAGAGAACATTTTTGAGTTTACCTTAACATTGGTTAAACCTAGCTCACAATTCTCAAACTAGCTCTGGAATTTCTGATTAGAAAAAGTATCTTTGGTGTATCTTTTCTTCAGTTAGATCAAATGCAGATCTAGTCTTACTCTCCTGATATTATGACAATAAAAATAACAAGTTATGATGGATGAACTGAAGTAATTCATATTTTACACTCATGAAAGGGACAGCCATGTATGTGCATAAATAGCCTACTCAAAAGCACAAAACAACATTTTTCACAAATTAAGTGAAAAACACAGGACTGAAATTTTATCTGCCCTTCTTTTCTCACCTGATAGTCTACAAGTAGCTCAGGACCTTTGAAGTATCGGGAAGCAACTCTGACATTATATTCTTGGCCAGGATGGTAAAACTCAGCTAAACCCC